CAGAACTCATATTTCCCTGCTACTGAAATCGATTAATAATTTTCTTTCGAATGTCAATTCATTTCTTGGGCAGAATTTTTCAAGCTACTGTAGACTTTTGCATTTCATTAAAGTTTTGTGTTTCATTATCGATTTTAAATTGAAGTTTATTTGCTTGGCTAAATGCTGAGAATTTGGTTAAATTTAAATTTGCTGTAAGTCATAAGAAGCAAAAAAAGTCACAAAATATAATTGACTTTAGCCTTGAGGCTTTTTTCCTTTGAATCTCTTCTGAAGTAATTGAAACAAAAAGTCAAATAATTACGTTAATGTTGGAGAAAATTAGGAAAGGAAGAAGAAGAAAAAAATGAAAACTAATTTAATTTCCTGTTAAATGAGCATTAACAGGGCAGACAAAGGAAAAATAATGAATGGAAATTAAAGACAAACACTTTTTTGCTTCTCTGGCCAGAGCAACACTGGATTGTTGGTACAAAAATGCATCAAATTAATTACATGTTAAAGTGTATCAAGCAAAACAAGTAAATTATCGTATAAATTATCAAAGCCAAAAACCTCAAAAAGTTGCCAAAGTTAGTCTTAAATTGCACAGTTGTTGAGCTTGTTTCTGGACTAAAAAGTGAAAAAAAAGTTGAGACTCGAGGAAGGAATCGTTTGCAAAAAGGTTTCTGTTTCAATTGAAAGTTAATTATTCAAAACTTGGAAAAGATTTTCATACCAAATTAGAAAATGATAACAAGCTGATTAAAAACACAATGGTATTAGTAAATGGCAATAAAATAATAGGCAACCGAATACAATTGAGGTAAGGAATTTGCATTTATTTGCATTTTGATGTGATTTTGTTTTTTTCCTTTTTTTTCGCCTTTTCTTTTCAAAAGAAAACATTTTTCTTGTTGGAAAATCTTGAATGCTGATTAAAAGTATTCAAATGAATGCTTCATGATTTTGCATCGTCTTGAGTTGCCAGATTATACAGAGTAAAATGTAAAAGGTAAACAATGGTTTAGTAAAGGTAAATGATGTTGGCATGATAATGCTCAATAATGAACAAGTAATGCTGCAAAATACAATGTTTCAAGATTTTTTCGCCTTTTCTTTCTTTTTTCCCTTTTCTGTCTTGCTTTCAATCTTTTTTTGTTGCTTTTCATGTGCATTTGTTTGCGTTTCACTGGGTTCTCTGATTTTTTTCTCTCTGGTAATTACAGATGTTTGACAATGTTGAACTGGAAAAAGTATAAAAACAGGGAAAAAGGAAAAACAATGTGATTTATTCATTTGGAATTGGTAATGTTTAATCCACTTGAAGAAAAATATTGAGTCAAAGTTTGTGTAAGACTCTGGATAATAGTTGAATAGGTACATAATCGTAAAGTAATAAAGTCAACTGAGACATTGAACGACAATTACCAGTGCAAATGTCGAAGCATTTAATACGATTATCTTGGTAAAAGTATGCATAGAGAATGGATTATATTTTATGTTCGGATCGTCCAGGTTTAGGCATGAAAAGTGAAACATTGCTCTTTGCAGAAACGAAGAGAAAAAGATCAGACTCGAACTTGTATTACTGAACCAGTTTCACCTTTGGTTTTTTGAGCTTCAATTGATAGTCTTCGAGGCAATTTTACACGAGTTTTGGTTTGTACACGAGTATTCGAATGTTTTGACAAAACTTGAACAAAAACGAAATTCGTTCTTGACTTTCAGTGAATTTCAATGCTTTTCAATGAAAATTTGGACAAACTTTGCAATCTGTTTCACTGATGAAATCTGTTTAGCTTTCCTTTGGAGCTGCAGTTTTTTTCATGAGTTTTTGCTATTTTCTCGGTGAACATTCATAGGTCTAATCGAGCAAAAACTAAGCTAATTAATCTTTGCTTATCCTCATTGCCTTTCATTAAATTGTTTTTTTTTCTTCTTTTACAAACTTAGTCAATAGTCTTTCCACCTTTTCCGCTCTTTTTTTCTGTTCCACTCAGAGTTTCATTTCTTTACCTTTTCATCCAACATCATCTTCTCTAATCATCATCGGCTTTTCTTATTCTTTGTTCCTTCATTATTCCACGAGCTTTATTGACTTGCAGGTTCTCCTTTCAGCCCTCAAGTAGTTGTGCACTTTTAGCTGTAAATCCATTAATCTTGACTAACATTTACAATAAGCATCAGCTTTGGACTACAAACAGCTTGGAATCAATTTTCATCAGTTTAAATGCCATCAATAAACTGCTCATTATCTTATTTTTCCTAACAAATTGTCGTTGTAATGTTCAACTGCACCAAATAACGAGATAAACTAAACACGAACTATTCAATTTGCTATTGAAATGCGAAGAAATAAACATTTCGTTAAGAAAAGAAAACATTTTCAATTCGAAAAATTCGTTGCAACTTCATTTCTATCCCAATTTCACAGAGGCTGGAAAAATCTCGACAAATGATGGAAATGCTGAAACGAAAAAAGTCTTTGATTTCAGTAGATTGAAACATGGAAACCTGGAAGAACTAAATTGAACAAATAAATACAAAAGAAGTAGGAAAGGAAAACAAAGTCTTAAGAGTGAAAAATATTAATGATGTTACAGGATTGGCAGAATATGCAGAAACAAGAAGAAGAAGAAAAAATATCAAGAATGATGATCGAGAAACAAAAGGCAGAGCCACAATGGAAGTAAACGAAATTCAGTAAAGAAACTTTTTTTCTTCTCTTCATTTCCATTGATAAAGAAAAGGCGGAAAAAGATGATGAAAAGCAAGTGTGATCAATCTTGGCCTTTTACAGAAATGAAATTGAAATAATGTCAGTAGCATGCTGATTCTCATGCAACAATATTTTTTCCTCACTTTTTCTCTCATTAGAGTTTCGTTTCAGCTTCAACATTGTTCATTCGAAGAGAAAAAAAGTTTCTATTCACTCAAAGAACAGTTTTTCGTTACATGAAAGTTCAACTGTTGAAGCCGCGAGCTTTTTTCTACTTATCCATGATGGATGCCATTTGAAACAAATTTTGACATTCAAAGCAAAACATTTACTCTAAATATCGAAGTGTTTCAACTCGAGCTTTTGATGAAGATGAAAACGGAAAGAACAGAAAAAAGTGATTTTTCGAAGTTTACATTTCGCAATAATCCAAAGTAAATGAAATTGAATAAACAATTTGTATTACATTTAAGAGTCGATTGGCAAGAAAGAGTCAGAGTTTTTGCGCAGAGAAAAAGATTCGACTTTTTCTCTTCTCTCTCGACTCATCATTTGGACCAATTCAAAATTCAAAAGTTGCCTTTTCTCCTTTTCTCCATTTGAAATTGGTTTATTCATTCAACTAATGAAATTAATGGTTCAATGAAATTTGTAAATGCGAAATTTAATATTCACCATTTTTTTCTCTCTCAACATTCTCAACATTTTCAACATTTTTCTTTATTACTTTTCATTTGTATTCTTTTTTTTCGTTGATCAAGCTAATGATGAACATTTGCTTCTTCAGTTCTGCTCCAGTTTCAGTGAGAAGGAGAAAAGATTAAATGAAAGGTTTCCAAAAGTAACCTTTGATGAATCAATATGAAGTTAATGAATCGAACTGAAAATTGCTTTGAAAATAATTGAGCTCATTAAATAAAGTTCCAAATCTTTTTGTGTTATTCAATGCTCCAAATTTTATGGCCTTTTTATTGGCCAAACACAATTGTCGAGTCAACAAACTTGTTCGAGTAATCATTTTTTATTAGATATTTGAAAACATTAAAGCAAATTAATTAGTGTAATACAATATTGCTGTTAATATAAAATATTATCAAGAAAATTCCAAGTAATGATAAGTTTCAAGATGAAACTTGAGCTGGAAAATAACTTTTGGTAAACATTTTTCCTTCTCTTCTCATTCCAATGGTTCAGGATTGAAAGAAAATTGTTTCTTTTCTTGTTCTTTTCTTTATCCAACTTTCTCATTGATATAAAGCAAACAAGATAATATCTAATAACACAAGAAAATAATTCCAATTCACTTTTTTTCTCTCTCTTTTTGCTGCTGATAATTTTTCACTCCCAGACTTGTGACAATTAAATAATAACTGCTATCTGATGCTGAATCATTTCCATTCTCATTTTCGTTTCCATTATTCACTTTTTACTATTGAATACAACAGAACTGCACTTTAATGTTTATCGCTCAAAGTTATTAGAATCACTCCCAGTGTGACAACTCCAACGATTGTGATAACAATTTATTCTTTTGCCATTTGTTTCGATTCTTTTATAGCTTCCTATGAATATCAAGTTTGCATCAACCAGTCAACATTTCATTGTACAGATAAAAGAATAAAAAAAGTTGGTAAAAATGTAATAACTTTTCACTCCCAGTAACCAATTGCAATGGAAATTGAGAATTAAGCAAAATTTAGAAATCACAATTTTTCGATTCGAATCTTGATTTCTGACAATTTCCTTTGGTGGTTGAGATGAAAATTTGTCTAATAAATGCCTTTTCTCAAGGAAAAGCTCTTCATACATTTTGACATTTACTCTTTACTTGAACAATATTTTCAGTATTTTGAGCTTGATTAAACATTCTTGATGTCAGTAAACAGTGAACGTTTCAGTTTCCAATGGATGAAATGAGATATTTTCGTTTCATGTAAACATTTGTCGAGTGGAGCAGCCAAAATTTTTCACCCTTTTGTTTGACTAGGAATATTAATCGCCATGAAAACTGAGAAGTCAGGGAAATAAAGTTGACATGAAGTTGGCAGCAAATTTCATGTGAATCATCACTTGTAAACATCAATAATAATCTTGCATTTTTTCACTTCAACTTTCATTCCATTTTCCACTCTCATCACCCATATTATTATCTCATCATTGACCTTAATTAGGTGACACCATGATAATACCATAACATGAAATATAATAACAGTATCAATAATGGTGTGACATGAAAAGAAAACTCTTTTTCCCCAAATATCAAGTTGTATTGATAATAATAATGAATCCATTACTTTAGCTTCCAGACCTTGTACAGAAGATCAGTATCGATGTCATTCGGGTCGATGCATTCGAGCAGCTTGGCGATGTGATGGTGACACTGACTGCAGTGACAACTCGGATGAAGAAAACTGTGGCTATCGAACCGAGTGTCTAACTGGACAATTTAAATGTGACGATGGAACTTGCATCAGGTAACGAAAAGTTTTGGAAAAAAAATTCGACAAAAGTTGAACTTTGACAAATTGCATTTTCGCTTTCACCCAACTTTGATTGCTTAATCTGATTTCAAGACACAATTTGATCTGGATAACTTTTCGGGTTCGCCAGGTTCAAGACTAATTGTTATTCAATGGAAAGTGCGAAAAGGTGAAGAAAAGTGAACCTTTTTCTTTCCCGGAATCACAATTGTATTCTAATCATGAACCTTTATTCATTTGAATCACTTTATTAGGTTTTGAAATTGTAAGCTTATTGTATTATGGAAGCTTCAATGAGCAATTTGTTTTCTCTCTTCAAACAAAGCTTATCATCATCATCATCATCTTAATGAGGTTTTCTGTTGTGAAATAATTTGCATCAGTTTTGTTGGAAACTGAATGAAGTGTAAAAAGATTTGCAAGATTGTGAGAAGGAAGATGAGTGGAGAAGAGAAGAAGAAGAAAAAAGTCTATTCAGTAAAATTCTTTCAACCTATCAGATACATTCAATTCACAGTTTCAAGTTTTTATAATTTCATCTTCTGTCATTTTGCAGTTCATTATAGTTGATTGTTTTTCACTCTTATTTTCACTTCTCAAATTGAACGAATAAAGTGGAAAAGTTAAATTAGATTATCAAATGTTTTTTTTCCAATTATTTCGAGTTGCTCTGGAAGAAAATGAATTTGATGAGAAACATTGAAAATTCAATAACGATAATCATTGGAATAAATGTTATCATGGAAAAGATTTTCTTTCAATATTTCTTATTTTCTTTTCCAGTTTCAAGAATGAATTAATTTCCAACTGATGGAAATTGAACGAGAAATGAATTTTGAGATGAAGAGCAAAATCGAAATTCAATGTTATCTTTTTATCTGGTTCAAGGTTACCTCAAGGGTCTAAACAATATCGTTTGAACTTGAACTTTTCAATGAATTTTTTTCCATGTTTCTGTTTTCATTGCACTCAAGAATATGAAAAAATTTGAAAAAGTTGAAATCAAAAGTGAAAATGAGAATGAATGAGGTAAAGAGAAATTCTGACAAAATTTGATTAGATCAAGTTTCAATTCTCATGATAACCAATTTTTTTCTTCCACCAAACAGAGTATTTGAAAAAGTGAATTATTACCTTGTCAGTTTTTTTCGCTCTTTTCCTCTGTTCGTTGGGCGTTTCAAGTTACAGATTGAAAGGAAAGGAATCTCAATGTACTTAATCATTATTAACTTAGTTTCATCTTTTGTCTAATAAATGATTGAGAAACGTAAAATCTCTCAAAAGTGATGAGAATTGAGATAACATTTTGTGTTGTTTTTGTGTTGCTCTTTACTTCCTTTAACCTGTGACCTTTTTGTTTTACAATTTATTTTCCATTCATGTAATTGGTTCAACATTTTAAACTGACCACAAAAGTGATGAAAAGTGAACTTGAATGTCAGATAATGTAATTTGGTCCGTTTTTATTTACAGAAAAAAGATAACAAATTTTCGGTCAAACAAATTGAATAAAAGCTTTAGTTTCAATTGAAAGTTTATTATTCTCTGATGAATCAATGAACTTTTCGAGTTATTTTCATACTTGAACCCGAAGTTGCTCCATTGATGACCTTAAGAGAGTTATAAATTCGCAGTTTTTCAAGCTTTAGAATTCGACTCTCTAATTTCTCGCTCATGTGACTTCGAAGTCAAGTTTAATCAGAGTTTTGGAGTTTTGGAAGTTATTTGAACCCAACCCATTCAACCCAAGCAGAAGCACCATAAAATTAGTATGGATGGAAGAGTCAGATTTTGTGATCGGTTCGGATCGATTGGGAAATGGAAGTGAAAAGTTTAACATTGGAAAGCGAATCAGTTGGCAATGAAATTGAAATTAGAGCAACAATAGTGATTATTGTGAATTGGAAAATGCGAAAAAATTAGCAACGAGAGAGTAATGACGAAGAGAAAAAAGAGAAAACTGAAGCAACGGAAATTGATGAGAATAAGTTGATCGGAAATGAGGTTGATTATCTGATCTTGTTAGGTTCAAATTGAAATAACATTGAAGCATGGAATGAATTGATGAATGGACTTTGATGTTCAATTGGGTTACAAATGAAAACTGAATGGTACATTGAATGCAAGCCTTTCCTTTTACCATTTTTATTGCAAAAACTGGAACTTTTTTGGTACTAAACAAGAGTTGATTCATTGAAGGTTGAAATGATTCGAGAAAAAAACGAATTTTCATTAAATAATCGAATCAAATTTTTAGTCGAAAATTTCAATTTTGACCAAAAGTTGCATAGAAAATTGACCTTCAACTTGAATGGTAACCTTGGAATTGAATTTCGCATAAATTTTCCATCAACTTTTTCTTTTCATCTTCAATCGATTTGCGGAAAATTGTATTTTCTTGGCTTCTCCTGAATCAAATCTTTGCAGCATTCATTGATTGTTGATGGAAAAAGAGAAGAAAATATTTCCGGAAATGAAAAATATGATGAATGAATTTGATGAATCTCGAGGTTATCATGAAAATTCACTCTTTTTTTCCTTTCCTTTCTCTTCTCCAGTCTCATCAACTTGAAGTTTACTTTTTTAAGACTCAACTCAGTGCACTCTAGTTTAATTGAATCTGGTTTCTTGAAATGATTCAGTTTTTTTCGCATTTTTTCTTCTTCTTTTATCGTAGTTCAGTTGTTTCATTCAACCTTGATTATCTTTGTTACAAGTTTATTCTTTTAACCAGATTAAGATTGATAACATTTTGAGGTTACCTTACATAGTGAAACAATAAATCTAATCATTAATGGATAATGTAAACTATAATTTTCTGTTTTTATTAATTTTCATCTTCAACGTGGTGAAAATCTGGTGCAGTAATCAAAGTAACAAGTTGCTATTATATCATGTTGATGCTCTATAGTCAAATATTTTATTCATTGTTCAACATTGATTAACTTTGCTTTTCCTTGTTACACTTTTACCTGCAATTTATCAACTTCAACTTTACCCTCAATTTGAAGGTTGAAATTTTTTCAAAATTAACTAATGAATTTTGTTTTCCTTTTTTGCTTGAAATGAAATTGTGATTTGGGTTCAGTCAATATTTTGTTTGCAATGGAGCGCCCAATTGTCCGGATGGATCCGATGAAGATGCCAACAAAACTTGCCTCAGTTCAACTCCTTGCCGTGAAGATGGTTTCCCTTGTCAACACTTGTGTCTTGCCTCTGACTCGGGTCACCATTGTGGTTGTAAGCAAGGCTATGAGTTGGCTCTTGACGGTCACTCTTGCCTTGACATTGATGAGTGTGTTGCACGGGAACTTTCATGTTCCCAGCGATGTGAAAACTCGGTTCCCGGATTTCAGTGTTTTTGTGCTCAAGGATATACCATGAGTGAGGACAAGATTTCATGCAAGGCAAGTGGACCCGAGCCTTACATTATTTTTGCCAATCGAGTAGATATTAGACGGGTGACACTTGATGCCTCCGATTACACTGCAATGGTAAGTGATCTTCAAAATGTGATTGCCTTGGATTTTCATTATCAACGACAATTGATTGTCTGGTCTGACATAACCACGGACACTATTTATGTTGCCCACTTGAATGGCTCTTCAATCCAACCCATCATCTCTTCTGGTCTCGTCTCACCGGGTGGACTGGCTGTTGACTGGTCGGCTGATAGGCTTTACTGGACCGATTCGGGGACAGGAAGAATAGAGTTTGCCAACTTGGATGGTTCCATGAGAAAGGTGCTCTTTTGGCGCAACATTGAAAAACCTCGAGCCATTGTGGTCAATCTGGAAGAATCTTTTCTCTACTGGATTGACTGGGGTTCACCGCCACGCATTGAAAGAGCACACTTTGATGGATCGGGAAGAGAGTCGATCATCTATACAAGCCTTTTCTGGCCCAATGGGCTAACCATCGACTATCCAGCCAATCGACTCTATTGGACTGATGCAAAACACCATGTAATTGAATGTTCAAGGTTGGACGGTACAGATCGAAGGTCAATCATTCAAGGTGAAACATTGTTGCCTCATCCTTTTGCTATAACTGTTTTTGAAGATACCATTTATTGGACAGATTGGCGAACTAAGTCAATCAATTCTGCTCACAAGTTGACGGGTCGTAATGTAAACACTATCCATGGGCAGCTTCATTCGCCCATGGATTTACTGGTGATTCATCCACTTCGCCAAGCCAAGTATTCCGACAAATGTACAGCATCACCATCACCATCATCATTGCCATCAAATTTATACTCATCAAGCTCACTATCTGCCAAGTTGACGCCCTCGCCCTCTTCCCAGGGAAACCCTTGTTCTCACATTTGCCTGGCTAATAACGTGTCCTTTACCTGTGCCTGTCCTACTGGTTTCAGTTTATCTCCTGATGGAGCAACTTGTAATAGCAAACCGGAAACCTTTTTACTCTTTACTCGACGAAATGATATCAGATGGTTGTGCATTGATTGTCCAGATGAAGACAATATTGATGTTGTCCTTAGTTTACAAAACATAAACTCGGCCGTCTCACTTGACTGGGATTATCCGTCTCTATCAATATTTTGGTCTGATGTCACCAATGACACCATCAATCGAGCCGACTGGCATGGAACCAAGCAAACTGTTATTGCAGGTCAACCCATGGATTCACCTTCAGGCCTTGCCGTTGACTGGATTGGTAACAATGTCTATTGGTCCGACTCGGGTCGTAATGTTATTGAAGTGGCCCTTTTCGATGGTGGCATTAGATCAATTGTCATCTGGTCTGGTTTAGATCGACCTCGAGATGTTGTCGTTGATTCAATCGTGTCGCTCATGTTTTGGATCCATCGGGAAGGAACCAATTCAAAGATTGAAAAGGCTGGAATGGACGGATTGGAACGAAAAGTAATCTTGTCACACAATTTAACCTGGCCTCATGGGATGACTCTTGATTTGTACGAGAGGCGTCTCTATTGGTCAGACATTGGTTCCAAGACTATTGAATCATCTGATTATGATGGTAAATATCGGTTTACCCTGATATCGGGTCATGTCAAAAATCCATTTGGCCTAACAATCTATGATCGTTATCTTTACTGGACCGACTGGGAATTGAAGACGATCCAAAAAACTGATAAAATGAGAGGTGAAGATAGTAAAGTATTGCTCAAAGGCTTGGATAATCTGATGGATATTCAAGTGTTTCACTCACATCGTCCCAATCGATCTTCACCTTGTACAGGTTCACCTTGTCAACAACTTTGCCTTCTTAGTCCAACAGTGCCCGGATTCAAATGTGCCTGTTCCACTGGCCTTGCCTTGGGATCTGATAAAAAATCGTGTGCACCTGATATGGTCAAGTTTCTAGTGATAGCAACACGAACCAGTCTTCGTCGAGTTTCCCTTGATGTTCCCTATTTTGCTGATGTACTTGTTCCCACAGTCGGTGTGAACCTTTCCAATGCCTTGATTGTGGACATTTATCCACCCGAGTCAACAGTCTTTTGGTCAGACACCAATACAGACATTATTTACCGAGCTCGCTATGATATTGGCGGCAACTCGGGTGAAAAGTCACTAGTCGAAGAGATTGTGTCCATTGGATTGGGTGATGTAAATGGCCTGGCTGTCGATTGGATCGGAGGTAAACTGTATTGGACCGATGCTGGCCGTAAACGAATTGAAGTTGCCAACCTTGATGGTTCTTCTCGCAAGTCACTCATTTGGACGGACCTCGACTCACCACGAGCCATTGTTTTGCACTACTCGTCGGGTTACATGTTTTGGACTGATTGGGGTTCAGTTACTCGCATCTCTCGAGCTGACATGGATGGATCAAGGAGAGCACTTTTACTCGACAGTGGACTTGGTTGGATCAATGGTCTAGCTGTATATCGAAGTTCAACCTCTTCTTCGGGAACCAAATTGATTTGGGTTGACTCGCAGTTGCACACGCTGGAAATGGCTGACATTAATGGTGCCAATAGAAAAATTTTACTCTCAAATCTTCCATCGCCTTATGGTGTAACCGTCATTGGAGATGAAATTTATTGGACTGATTGGGAAACGAGATCGATTCATCGAGTCATTGGTGAAGATCCGCGAACATCGACAATCCTTTTATCAGGTTTAACCAACATTGCCGACTTGTCAGGAATTGACTTGAACAGACAGGAAATTAAAAACACTGTTGATGTGTGCAAAATGAACAATGCAGGCTGCTCTCATCTTTGCCTGCGCAACTCGTGGGGCTACTCATGTGTTTGTCCTGCTGGCTATCAGCTTCTGTCAGACAAGAAGACTTGTTCATCCAATTTAACGGCATTTCTGTTGTTTGCCAGTAAAAAAAGTTTACGGCGAATCTCTTTGAACACTGAAGGTTTAAACACTTATGCCGATGTCTACCTGCCCATAAATGATATAACAAATGCAGTTGCCATTGACTTCGACTATCAAGATCAAATGATTTTCTTTTCCGACATTTCTCTTCATCTCATTCGACGAACCGATTTCGATGGCTCCAAAGTGACCAATGTCATCTCGTCTGATTTGGTGCGTCCTGATGGATTAGCTTTCGATTGGGTTGCCAACAACTTGTACTGGTCAGACACGGGACGTAATGTGATTGAAGTTTGTCGTGCCAATGGTGAGTCGCGTCGAATAATTATCGATCTGAATCTGGATGAACCTCGTGCCCTAGCCTTGTATCCAACAAAAGGTTTACTCTTTTGGACGGATTGGGGTAAAACACCCAAGATTGAACGCTCTTACCTTGATGGATCAGCTCGTCTCTCCCTCATCACAAGTGACTTAGGCTGGCCCAATGGGATAACAGTCGACTATGATGTTGACCTAATCTATTGGGTTGATGCACAACTTGATCGAATCGAATCAAGTGACTTTGACGGTGCTCATAGACGAACCATAATCAAAGACATTTCCCATCCGTTTGGCTTGACCATTTACGGTCCACACGTTTACTGGACTGATTGGCAAGTCAAAGCAATTGAAAGAAGTGACAAAGAAGGTAAACGACAAGCCAAAGAACTGGTTGTCGACAACATTGAATATCTCATGGAAATTAAAATGGTTGCCCCTTCAAGGCAACCAGGTAAGTAAAGTTCATTTTTCGCTCTTTCTTCTAATTCAGTGGCAAAACTTTTCAACAATCGATTCTTACGTTTCTTTACTTTTGGCAAATATTGGAAGCAAATGTTTCATGAATGAAACTTTTCGTTATTCGACTTTCACTTTTATTTGCCTGATTTGCTAATATTTTAGTTAACCCAAACTGAATCAACTTTGACTGATCTATTCATAAATATTTCAAATGAAACATTCATTTATTGATGAACAAAATTTTGCCAAACAAATTCAACCTCAAAAGTGAATGCTGCATAATGTAAAGGAAAAAATTGGTTTCGACTTTTTTTTCTACTCAAACTTTTCATCTCAATTATCATCATTCAATAGTTTATTACCTAAACATTTAGTTAATAGCAACATTAAAAGAGTCAAGTTTTACCATAAAACGAGAAACTCAATGAAATGAAATGATCTTTACATTTCAGCTTGTTTAATTCATTATGGTTTCTACCTTTCCTTTCAATGATTCCCTTTCAATTTGATTGCAACGTTTCACGAGTTAATCTTTTAACCAAATTATTATTTTGTTTTATCTCGCTATTCAATAGCATAAGTTAATTCACTAAGTTAAACTTGTTGTATTAACAGATGAAATCATTCATTTATATTTTACCTTTTTTTTCTTATTCAATTTAAACAAGATTAGATAATCTCTAAAGGCCACTTAGGATGTTAAAACGCATATTATTATCATCACCATTGAATTTTAAGTTCATATGCAGAAGAAACAGACTCAAAGAATAATGAATTAAATTCAAACCAAGAAATGATACAAAAAAAGAAAGAAAAGAATATCCAAAGAGAATGAATATATTCAAACATTCGGTGTTCACTCAACAGGGAACGATAACAATTTACTCCCAATAATAGAGGTTAAGAAGTAATGAAATTGAACAATTCGGATAACACTTTCACTGGTAAATGAGAAAGAAAAAAATTATCTCTTTTCTTCTGAAAAAAAGTTCCTCGAAAAAGTAAAGTCGAAAACTTGACAAAAAGAATTTTTCCCAATTAAACTTTCGATTCGAATTGGATAAGTTTTTTCACTCTTATTCATTTTTATTGGTTCCATGTTATTCGAAATTTTCATGGAAAATGAAAAATACTTTCTTTTGACCTTTTCTGCAAAGTTTTTTTCGATGCTATTCAATTTGGTTCATAACGAACAACTTTTTTTGGCTTTTTCTTGTTTTTCGTCTGGGAATTTTCGTCACTTCGTTTGATTATTGTTGACTTTTAAGGTGCAAAACATGATCTCTTCACGAGCTGTCACTGAAGATTGGAAAACTTTTTCATTAGTTCGAAGTGAGCTAAAGACCATCAAAGAAAAAGATTTTTTCTGTCAATTTTTCTTTTCCAGATATTCCTTTTCTTAGCTCACTTCTTTAATCAACTTTTATCCCTTTTCTCACTTCATCATCAACACTGAACATTTTCCTATTTCCACTCTTGATATTATTGAATTGATGATTTTTCTTTTTCCCAAAATTCCATTATCTTTTTTCCCTTTTTTTATCAACCAAAGTTATGAAGTGAACAAAGAAACAAAAGAAAAACGTTTTTTAAAGCTTCTCCACACAAGTTTATCAATATAATGGTAAATAAAGATATATTTGATTAGAAGAGAAAAAATCAGGTAAAAGTTGATAACTCAAATACTCTTAATCTGGACCAATGTATTTCACCCAGTTTCTTGAGCTCAATATTTTCTTATCCAATTTTATCCTTAATAAAGATTCCTTCCTCTTAACCAGTTGGGAAGAGTTGAAGGCAACAACAAAAAAAACAATTGCAATGTTCAATTTGATGAGCCTTGTGAGTAGAGAAAATAATTTAATATCAGAATGAGCCAAATGAAAAACAGCTTGGACAAGATTTGAACAACATCAACTATAATTTCAACATTTTTTTTTCTTCTTTTATCGAATGACAAAAAAGAGGGAAAAAAAGCTCAATTGCACTTTTTATATTCTACTCAAGAAAAATAACAATTGTCATTATCAAAGTTAACAAGGCGTGGTTAGCCCATTCTGCTTAATTCCTGAGTTACTTCCTCTTATCTGAATCATTTTATTCTCAGTCATTTTTTCGTTTCTCTCTCATCTTGTGTGCAATTTTCTTGGGATAAATCAAGTGATCCATGAAACTTGTCAATCTAAAGCTTTTCAGTTTTCGTCTTTTTACTCTTTTGAATTGTCTTCTGTGTTCAACTCTTTCTTCTTCTTCTCCTTTTTCCAGCTTGTTCAGTCCTTGACCAGGTTTCTCATGATTCTTGTTTTTATTGTTATTACAAGTAGGCAAAAGAGTGACCAAAAAGTAAAGGTCATAAAGTAATCAGGTTGAAATGTTGAATGAAGATGAAGCTCAGGGAAAACCGAGGTCGACATTGATTGAAGTCTACAGAGGACAAAAAAAAGTTCAATTGATGAAGAAGGAAAAGGAAGCTAACAGGGAAGAAATAAGAATAACGAGTTCTACATTGATCTTATTCTCGAGTTTTTACTCTTTTCTCTTTTGTCATGAATTCCTTTTTTCCCTTAACAAGAGTGACTTGTTATTTCTCCTTCTCTTCACATTATCTTTAGTTTTGCTTTTCTCTTTCCCTTGCCAAGTTGTTGAAATGTAATGGTGTTCACCCATTATCTTTGGACACCCAAAGATGCAACAACATCGATTTGAAATGTTTATGCAAATAACACAAGTCACTGGGAAACACTCGCCTCTTACCAATAAAAGTTGACAGTTTTTTTGCCTCTCGATTCGTCAATCTTCTTGACTTTTCCTACTTCAACACATGGATTTGTTCAGTCGTCATTTTCCTTCTTTAACATTATTCATTCAGACAGTTGATCAACAATTATCCATCATTATTTTATTCATTAATCAATCAATGAATGTTGTGATAAAGATCAAGATGAAAGTAAAGATCAAATGAAAGAATCAATTCAATACCAAAGCAATCAAACTTTTTTTCCTTCTTCTTCTTCTCATTACACTTGTATTTGCATTATGCAAAAGTACAAAGTTAATTGTCGATATTTTTTTTGGGTTTGACGTTTGACGAAAAAGTTGCAATGAAAAAAGTTCTTTCGAGTTGACAAATCTTTTGATTCAATTGACAATTAAGGTTGATTATAATTCATTGTTATTTTATTGGAAACAAGTTTATGGACAAAAGTCAACATTTATGTTTATCCATTTAATATCATTATCAGACAATGTAAAAATGTATCAAAGTGAGTTTCAGCTTTTATCGAATGCGAAGTTGCAAGTTTATTATTATTACTTTTCTGAATTATTGTTGATATTATTGAGTAGAAAGCAAATAAAGGCTCAAGAGTCAATGATTATCAACAATGGAAGATGAACAAAAAAGGTTAATCTGGGAGGGAAAAAAGCTTGGTGGTAAAAGGAAGATAAAAGTTATTTGCAAGAATAAAAATTGGATAAATGAGAATATCTTTTCTTTCCTTTTCAAAGGTGTGCTTTTTTTAGTCACTTTACTCTGCATTTGTATACACACATTTAGTGACTGTGTTATTCAATGGAAGCATCACAATTGAGTTACAAATCTTTGCTCTGGGATGTCAATTAATGCCAAAAGCAATAGAATTGTGGAGATGAAGAAGAAGAAGAAAAAAAAGAATCGAACATGATGATGATGGTGATGATAATGATGATGAGGAAAGGATAACAAGAATGTGAATGGAAAGGAAAACGGCATGAAATTCAAAAGATCAGGAAAGGTAAGAAAAAGGCTATTAGTAGTTGATGATGAGCTGGAAAGAAAAGAGAAAGGAAAACAAGATGATAATGAGGATGAAAAGAAAGGCAATGGAAAATTATATCTGATACAAAAATCATTCTCCTGATGAGAATAGCAATGATGAAATGTATTCAATCTTCTTACTTTTTTCTCTTTTTACCTTATTTTTGCTTCTTCTTTTTTCTTCTTCTCTGATAATAGTTACAAAAGGTGTACCAAATAGGGATTCCCTTTGAGACTGAAGTAGAACAAGTGAAAGGTAACAAAGTTGTAGGAATAACATTCATTGAACCATTTCAATGATAATCATGATGATGATAATGATGAGGATGATAATACTATTTTACCCCATTTTATTATGTTCCTGATTAGGTGACTCTATTAGTGATCATCATTTTCTTTATTTTCTTGTTTTTCTTGTTTTCCTTTTCTTTAATTCTTCACTCTTTGTACTACTTTTGACTTCTCTTTTTGCTTTCTTCTGAGTCTTTGACTTTTAGATCTCTTTAGCAAATCAATTTGCAGAAACTTGGTGGAAATTTTGGGAATGCAAAGAATGTTTCAATTTAAATCTTTTTTTCTCCTTTCAATTTTATTCATTTACCTGAAGGCTAAGATGCTGCATATCAAATTTTTCATAAAGTTTAACTTTCTTTTCCTCACTCACCATGAAAAGTTAAAAATCTACTTCAACAATATTAGCACATAAAAGATCGCAAAATGAAAATGTATTTGAAGTGACGAAAAATGTGACACTTTTCAGATCTGAGCAAATTTGGTCAAAAAATTTCATCTTGAATTATTCTTTCAAATCCCACAAAACATTTTTCTAGTGTTCATAATATCTTTGAAAGATCACAGATCATTGAGGGAAAGACAAAGAACTTCAACTTTATCAGTGACTCGAAAGTAAAGTTTTATTTCTAACAAGTGCATCAGCGCAATAATGATCATTTAGTGAGCCTTTACTAATTACGGATTAAGTGTCTTCAATTAAACTAATCGAAACAATTGAATCACACGTGTTCGAATAAACAGTCCAACAAGTTAATCTTCTAAATCACTTCAAATAAATTCTTATAGTCTAAAGGTGCAAAGGCAAAATCAAATTTAGTCTCAATCATGATGGAGAATCGAATCTCAGTAATGTTGATTAAAAGTTCAGTCAAAGAAAATTTGCTAAAAAAGAAAAAATGTCAATTTTGAAAATTGCTTCTAAGTTTTCCCACTCATAATGAAGATATCGACTGTCGATTAAACGATCAACCAGTTGAAATGAATTAAGCTCATTACAAGTTTTTTGTTGAAAAATTTGCAAGAAAATATTTTCTTTTGGGTTCCTCTTTTGCTTAAATTTTACCTTCATTTTTGTCTTCCTTGAACAATATTTGGGTTTGCGCTTTTGATTACATCTTAGTTTATTGAGTATTAAATTTCTTCACCATCATCATCATCCTACCTTTCATCCTTTTTATCCTTTCATCTTCTTCTTTTCTTCTTTTACTCACCCTGATGTTTGTTGAGGTTAGTTCACACCATGAATCTATCAGAAAAATGTAAACTCGAGTCAACATTGCATTCTTTTATTATCATGTCTTTTCCTGTAAGCTTTTAGCTTCTTCGATTTTTCTCTTCTTTTTCTTATGTAACACACAATCATCTTAACCAGCATGATTTGAATAAACGGATAGATGATGAAAGACAAAGATATCAGTTTATCTCACCATTAGAATCTTATCTATATAACATTCAAGTGAAATCATCATATGAACAAGAACATGACGAGGAGAGGGGAAAAAAGGTTCAAGAGTAACCGGAAGATGTAGTGTTGTACAGAAAATGAGAAAAGCCAAAAGAAGCTGAAAATGATTGTTATTACAATAGAATGTTTGTTGTTGACATTATCATGATTTGATAAATTGTACTCAATTGCATTCAATCCTTGAAATCAACATGAACAAGAGAGAAAAAAGAGTAGAAAATGACTTTTATATGTACATTCGTTCAATTGGCGATCACTTGATTCCAAACATTTTTCATGTTCATCTCAACATTAAACATTCAGCTAAATGTTTGATCCAACAAACGATTCAACAAATGAAACATTACAAAAGGAGAAAAGATTAACATAAATAGAAAAATGGAAAACTTTGACACAAAAAATAAGTTGCAAAGTCGAATGAAAAATTGACCAGTTTATTCACTGACCAGGACCCAAACATTACGTTTAAATGGTCCATCAAAAGGGTTGAAATTGAAAGAGTAAATATCAATTACTGTTACAAAAGACTTTTGGATTTTATTTGTTCCATAATTGTGTGATAATTGGTTAACAGGAAAAGACTATTTATCATTATTTGATTAAATTGAATATGAAACTCATTTATTTTTCAATTCAATTTAATGTTTGATGAAATACTGACCTCAACATTGCAAGTTTTGTTTCAAGTTGATTCAATGAAGAGAAAAATGAATCTTTTGTTGAGTGAAAAAAATTGTTGAAACTAATTATTAAAATGCAAAAATTAACATTTGTTTCATTTCTCAATTATTGACGATTCTTTACTTTTTGTGGCAACTGTTATTGACTTTGGTTGAGATGAATGAACATTTTTTTCAATCAACTTTGCCAAGTTGGAAATTTAATTTACTTTTTCAATTTTACTGCGATTAATCTATTTACTAGGTTAAAGTTTAATGTTGAACTAATTTGAAATGAGTAAGCTTTAAAAGACAATGGAATCAATTAAATTTAATTGAAAGATTATGAACAAGCAAATTAATCCGATTATGCTTCATAATTTTCATGTTTCATCCAGTTTCATTTGAAACTATCATTAGCTCTATCCATTGTACCATCGTTTAACCTCGAATGTAACTTTGCTAGCACAAAAATTCAGCCAAATATTAGGAAATAATAATACAAAATTATCATAAGATTTTATTCCGGTTGCATGTCTTTACATGATAATTCTGAAAATAATGACTTTATGGCTACTTTCACAGTCAAATTTGAATTTACAAGAATCAAATTTTAAAACTACAGCTATCTTGATTTGATTACTGTACTTTGAATTCCTCCGAGGGTTGAAATAATCGAGAAGTTGACAATTCGATTCAAGTCATTGTCGCATCTACTCAGATACTGAATCAGAGTGACCCTCCATGTAAAAACAAATAGACTTGGATGAACATCATACCATCAACTAACTATTCTGGTCAAGATTTAACATACCGGGCGTTTTTTTCATTTTAAGCCTGTTTGCAGGCCTAACTCAGGAACGGTTGCTGCAACACCTCAGACTTGAAACATGAGCTCACTCAGATTGAAGAACAATAAGTACGGAAGCTCAAGGTCATTCAAGGCCAAACCACTATTTGACCTCTAATTGACATCTAAAGGTCATTTTCTGATAGGGCAAATTTTTTCAGATGGTTTGATGTTAGTTGCATGATTATAACTTTTGTTGGTCAGGTACAACTAAACATGCCTTGTCAATATTGTCCTAAGCTGTGTCCTAGCATCGAACTGCCAACGTTATGGGGTAAGCCCTGGAAAGATTATATCAAGTCATCTTAGTTTAGATCCTCCAATTGAAAAGAGTTCTGTTATCAATTACTCAACTAGACGTTGAAAAGCGAGAACACAATCGCTGATTTGAAAGTGTAGAAAAAGAAGTTCTCGATAGAGCGGTCAATAATCTAAATGTTAGGCTTGATTCTTGCTTAGCCCGAAATGGGTCACATCTTGCCTTCTCTCTCTAACGACACCAATTTCAGTTCAATAAAAATGGATGGTAAATTCAATAAACGATAAATCATTAAAGCTTGTGTTGTGTGTTCAATTTGAGATTCTGATTCCATTCCAATCCAGTGAATTGTTTCGTTAAAGTGAAAGCAGTGAAAATAAACAAACAACAGGATAAACAACAAAAACATGAATGTAACTATGTATCGACAATAACAACATTATAATCATGAGGTAAGTGTAACTTAGAGGAGTGTTTAATTGAATCACATTGAGATTATTGGTGAATCAAAATTCCTCATCAATTCATCGAAACCAGTTTTTCTTTGATCTGCTCATTTACTTTTCAGCTGTTAACAGATTTTAGAGCAAAATTCTTTACTTAGCATTTGAAAGCATTTGGATTGATTTCAATTTGCACTTCATTCGTAAATGCCTTCAATAATGAATCAACATTTACTGAAGAAAAAACTTAAAAATATCAAAACACTTATTAGTGAGAAGCAGTTAACAGATTCGTCCACTAATTTCGACGAATAGTTAGGACAGATCAAGTCCGTCATAAAAGGGTTTTACAGAACAGCCTGAAGAAAATCGTTCAAATAATTTTTCAAAACAAAAATTCATTAGTGATGTAAAATGTGCTCAACAAGACATCACGTTGGTAAAATTATCAAATTATTCCTGCATACTTTTTTGGATTACTTATTGATTGAACTTTTATGCGTGGATAATAAACAAACTTTTGAAAGAACTTATTGTTATCTAATTTTAAATTGTTAACTATGAAAGTTTATCAAATTTCAATATTTAATAAAATCGTAAATGGAAGGGCTCATTAGGTTTTGTTGGTTCGGCATAATGGCCGGCAGTTAAAGAATGGATACTTAATTGGCAAAGGTTCTCGGCCGAACAATCTGGCTGTCAAAAAATGAATTTTCGGGTTTGAGAACAGAACAAACGGAACTAACTCCTTGATCCAGTAGTTCCTCAACATCTAGAACTCTACATTAATTAAAAGCGCCTTCGTCACTCTATTGGTTGCACAAAAGTTGCGTATTGATTGAAAACTTCTAGCCTCATTTATTGATTGATCAACTGCTTCAAGCTATTTTTATTCAGTTAGTTAGGTTACCATACAAATGTCTATCAAACTACTAGTTTGCTCTCCATCATTATTACAATCACCAGAAAGAAGTCTTTTTAGCACTTTTCTTTTTCATCTTATAAAGAACTATTTCTTCTCATTCCACCTCACTCTTATCATATTAACCTTGCAATTGAACTTGCAAGTTTTCCTCTCTTTTCTTCAGAATCCAGTTTCAATATTATACTTATTTGCATCTGAAAAGCAAATATTTGCTCAAAAGCAATCAAGACTATTAACGATATTGTCAAAGTTCAATAGTCGAATATTGATATTGAAACGAAAACGCTTCAAGTTGAAAATTTTTGCCCTTTTCGTGTCTCTCCAGAAACTTTGAAATATAAACTAAACTTTTTTTTCTTTAAACAAAATAACAGGAACAAATCCATGTGGAATTGGTAATGGAGGTTGTACTCATTTGTGCCTATTTCGACCTCAGGGTTATATCTGTGCCTGTCCTACTGTTCAAGATTCAAGACCATGTTCTCAAGGTATGAATAATATTACAAGTTGAAGCAAGAAAATATTGATAACCAAGAAACCAAAAAAGTCCACGAAATGGTGCAAGAAGGTAGAAGGAAGGAGCAAGAAATGAAAAAAAATGAGATTCCAATACAGTAGAAAAAAGTATTCCAATGAATACATATTTATTTATACATAAATGCATACATTTACTTGGAATACTTGATAAGAAAAATATTATCAGCATTATTATTATGATGATTGAAATGTGAAAATCCAAATGGCAAATGAATATTACCTCAAAATAATGGTTCTATTAGCATATTACAATAACATGTGTTCATTTTGCGTTTTCACATTCATCTCATCATTTTCGTTTCTTTTTCTCCTCCTTTGCACGATCAAGGTGTAAAGGAAAGAAAAATGTGTTATCACAAAAAAAAGGAAAAGGAAAAAAGGTCAAATTGATAAAGCTCATTTACAAGTTGATAAACTGACAAGTTGGATAACAGTTGATAACAATGTCACAGGGAGTTGAAATGAGCCTCCATGAAAGCCAGACAACTGACTCTTAGTGTGAGGTTAATGTTGATGATGAAATTTACTATTTTATCTGCTGTTACTCCTTGTAACCATTAGAATGGTATGTCTTTAGGTTATTATCTGGTGAAACATTTATTAAATGTACATAGATAAATATTGTAAAAAAACAGTGTTCATGTCATTTATATTTATGCCTGTTCATGTTTCAACTTTTTTTCCTCTTCTCTACTTTTCTCTTTTTCTCTTTATTCTGGGTAATTCAGTTCCTGGTGATATACTCAATTTAGAGACAAGTTCAACAGTATCAGCAAACAATGAGAATGTTGGTAAAGATAATCTGGATGAAATTGCCTATTTTGATAAGAAATTTACTCGAAACAATGTAACTTCGAAAGAATGTCTTGAAACTGGAACTTCATCAACATCATCAACAGTAACAACCCCAACTGGATGCCCTTCCGTTGGTATTTCCCTAGACGGTATTTAATTATCTCAACTTTTTTTTCTTCTTTTTCTTCTTTCTTTAACCCATTCATTTGTCTCTTCTGTGTTTGTCTTCAAGGTATCCTGGGAGGTAAAAGAGTGTTATAATATGTGATAAAAGTAGAAACAGTGTTGGTAAGGTTAAAGGGATCAACATTAAAATGTTAAAGAAGGGAACACAAAATTAAATAAAAGTGAACATTAATTGTGGAGAAAAAAAGATTTCAAGTAACTTTCATTTTCCATGCTAGCTTATTAATTATTAAACCTTTAACTTTCAAGTAACAAAAATTATTTGCCATTCATTAGTTCGCGATTTGCTTGATGCCAGTCAAGAGATCAAATTTAATGCTAATGCTTCACCCTTCAGCATCAAAATTTGTCTCTTCATTTGCTTCTTTACGTACTTATAGTTTTTTGGTTTTCACTTTTTTTGCGATTAATTGAAGAACTTGGTTTGCGAAATTTCATCGAACATTTCATTTTCGTCATTCATATTGAAATTCACTGAAACAATCATTATCTCGAGAATCGATATTATTGTTGAATGTTATTCAAATATTTTGTGAAATGAGCTTTACTTGTCTTTTAATCGTAGTTGTTTTGCCAAAACTTTATGATTTTTCATTTTGACTTTAATGTTGTTTCAACCTTTTTTTGTGCATTCAGTGCTTAACTTGATAAAAATTTGATTCCAATATTTTACTTTTCAATATCTTGCTTCTTGTGGATATTAAAGTAGACAGTAAAAACATTTCTCAACCTCATATTGCAATGTTTTTCCAGCATAAAATTGAATTTTCCAAACTTGATTTATGAGTTTGAATATCACTTCATCCAGAGTTGAATCAAAGGTCATTCAAGATTGTTCCCAATGTTAAAACTGCTTCATGGCTGCTTTCCTATTTTCAGCTGCTTAAAATTTTCACCAAATTGCATTTAACCATCCATAAGAAAAAGAGAAAAGTAAAAAGTAATTTTTTGTCAAAAATTGAAATTCGTTGTTATCTTGACGAAAAGCAAAGAAAAATTCTTGCCCATTCCATAATCGAAACTCTATTGATATCTATTTCGAGCTGGAAAAGAATCGATTTGTGAAGCATCAAAATTTGAGTTGTTTCGACTTATTTGCAAGTTGATTTTCGTTGACCAAAAAGAAATCTCTTGTCGATTCTTTTAATCTTTTCTCAGTCATTTTATTAATCTATTCAGCTTAATGTCAATGAATGAACAAATGAAATAAATAATTGTTGACCAAAATTGATTCCTTGGAGGAATGAAAAGTGTCCATTATTGAAGCAAAAATTTAGCTCAACATTTCGATGGAAATATCTTGCCGACTAAATACATTGTTTAGATGTTTTACCATGAAAAACCTCTGAACGTGACTCATTCCGATTCCCAAAATTTTACTCCCTGTAGAGTGATATAAATTTATCTGTTATCTTTTTTTTCGGTTCAGATAGAAGAGAGAAAAAGGTAAAATCTCAACTTGCATCTTCATTTTGTCCTCATCTATTCAACCTTCAGATATCATCATTTGAGATCACAAGATTTCTTCCTATTACTTTCCTCTTTTTCCCTGTTAAGCAACTTGTGCGACTTGAAGACACTTTCTGGTCAAACTATGTTCACTGACCATTCAACAATAAAATTGTTTCCTTTTCTTCTTCATTTTTTATTCATTCCATTCTCATCCACAATTTCATTTCAATTGTTTCGTTTCTTTTTTTCCAAAACACTTTTCTGAACACTTTTCATTCCAACATTTTCATCAACATTTCAATTTCCATTTCAAGAAAAGAGTAGAAAAATTCAAACATTATCATATTCTTTTAATAGCATTCCAAGAATAGCTAAATGTACCTTTTTCCATGCAATCTTTTCTTACCTTAAATTGAAACTTTTCCCTTTTCACCTTTTAATAGACAACTTTTTTTTCTCTTCAAATCTCAATTGTTTCACGTCACTCAACTTATAATCACCTTTATTGTGCTAACATTCACAACATAATTACCTCATCATTATCATCATCACTGAATATCTTTTTTGTTCGTTCGTTACTTAACTCAATGTTGACAGTTTAATGAAAAGGTTATTAATATTTCATTGCCTCTAGTTTCATTCAAAGACTCGCTTTATCAATATATTTATTAGACAAAACTGTTCCCTTGCAAACCCAGATTAATATTCAAAGTGAAAAATATATCTTTTCTCATTCATTCACATCACTTTTATCATGTAAAGTTTACGGGCAATATTCCTAATCAGCAATGGTTTAACCTTGTTTTCGTTGTTGCAAATGAAGAGAAAACAAAATGGAAAAAGCAAGTTAATCTGATAAGTTTCTGATGTTTCATTATCAGAATTGATGAGTGAGGTAAACTTGGTTTTACCAGAAAAAGGAAAATGCGTAAACTTGAAGCTTATGTTTGGGTAAACCAAAATGAGAGAAGAAAAAAAATGAAATTTTCTTTTCAAAATTTCATCCAAGTAACCATAGTGATTGATGATGTTTTTAATCTCATTTTGCTTCTTTCCTCAGATCCTTTTTTACAAATGGCTTACATTGCCACAGCAGCGGCCTTACTCTTGTTGACCTTACTTTTAGCCTCAATTGGTCTCATAATTTATAAAAGGTAAGAAGTTTACTTTTTGCAAAATGAAACACCATTGCATAAGCTGATTAAAATTTGCACCAAAAAACTTAAGAATATTATTTTACCAAAATTTTGCGAAGAAAAAAATGTTTAAAAAGAAAAAGTATTTTGAAATTTAATCGACTTTCATCTTTTCGTCTCTCAAAATGCACAGAAAATCATCTTCATTGGGTTCTTCTGAAGATGCTCGCTCTTCAACATCTGAAATTACAGACAAAGTTTATCCTCCCATTTGTGATGAACCACTCCCACATCCGACCATTTACCAACATCCCATTAAATTAGACACCAGATCTTTACCTCGTTCACCTCAATCAACGCCTCCCTCACCTCGAACCTCTTACAACCAACAACACCGAGGACAAGTTAAACACCAACAGCAAGTTGAACATCATTCCCAGCAACAGCATTACAGTCAAGAGTCTCACCTTCAATATGCCAAGAGCAACCCCAACACTCGGTCCAGCAATAGTCTTGTACGTGGCTCAACCCATCCCGAGTCGAGGGACAATGCACCCAAGCAAGGTTGCTTCCTATTGAATCAAGAGATTTACAGTGAAGATGAGAAAATGGGTTTCAATAGTAGCTTTGAAAGTTATCCAAGTTACAAGAACTGGGATGAACCTGGAATCCTCCTTTCAATACCTGATTTAACTGCAGCCTCAGAAACTCCTCAACGAAACATTATGGGAACGAATTTGTTACCAAACAGAACTGGAAACTCACATTTTAACAATGTTAATAACAATATCAATGCCAACAACTACAACAACAGCACCAACAGCAACAATGAAAGGAACAACAATATCAACTTTAGTTCCATGAAGCGATCCTTTTCATCGATTCACCCTTCCAACTTGCACATTCCCCTTTGCCCACCTCACTCGGGTCCACTACCTTCATCATCATCATCAACCTCATTGGCACGACAACAGCCTCCTTTTACACTCAACATTGGTCCAACTCCATATCACATTTTCCAGCCCATGGGCCAGTCAAATGAACCTTATTCACTATCCAATCGAGGCAACAATGAAATTAACGTTTCTTTTGATGATGAAGAGAATGATGAAGACGATTATCATCAGTCTGGTGGAAGAAGCATGTATCAACATCAACCTCAACATCATCATTACCCTCACCAAGCACACTTGCAACAACACCATCAACAACAACAGTATCATCAACAGCAACATCATCATTCTCATCACCGTCAACAGTCTAGAAAAAAGTTTAAATTTAATTCACTGCATGCCTCACCAGTCACCAAACGCTCACTTTCACCTCATCCACTTTATCGTCATCCATCATTCCATTCCATTGAAACTGATATATAAACATGAAGAAGGGCAAGAAAGGGAAACTTTTCTCTAAGTGATTCTGAAAGGATAGAGTGAAAAGTGAGACAAAACTGGTGAGAAATTGTAAGCCTAAGCAATACTTGTTAACTTAATGATATTGAAGAACAGAAAACAGAAAAAAAGTTCAAAAACATGTTCTATCAATTTCATCGTTTCTTTCGTCCTCAAGTATCTCTGCCATCTTTAAATATGCTCAATCATCTTCATATTCATTATTCATCCAACTTTTTCTGTGTTTTTGACTCTTTCGGCCATAAATGCATAAAAACAAGACAATAAAATAAACTTGTGCTAATTGGAGAAAAATTTTATCGACAAATTTTTAAAATCTGTTCTGTAACTTAAAATGCTATTTAAAAGTTGAACTGTTTGATATTAATAAATAATAAAAAATGAAATTTACTTGACTTACAACTGATTAAACGGATGAACATTTCATTTGCAAAAGATTTCAATTTATCAGAAAAATGATAATTTCAGAAAGAATGGCTTAAAAGGTAGACTATTAGAACTTGTTTGAATGATTTTGCAGCGAGAATTCAATGCATTGTTTTTAAAACTTTAGTTGTAGATGCTAATTCAGAGCAAGGATCAACGGAATTTGTTTTGATTCAAGGAATTATCTGTTTGGACAGTCACAAGCTTGCTAAACATGCAGTTGATAAATGATTTTTTCCTTTTCTTCCATTAACTAGTTCCATACTTTAATTGTTTGAACTACGAACGAATGTTTGATTTGCAATTATTCATGCATCGATTAACTTTTTTTATCATGAATATCAACAGTAATAATGTGTGGGTTGATTACCAAGTCAACTGTGGACAGTAAATGGTGATGCATTCTTCTCTGATAATTGACACAAATAACAAAGGATAAAATTCATATAAAATCTTGTATGCCTGCAAAAGTTTCTATCATGAATAGAAAACTTTTTTCATCCAAATGTTTCATTGATTGAAAGTGTTTTGGCGTATTTGGTTTTGGCTGAAAATTAATTGTGTGCAAAGGTATGTTCAATCAAAAACTTGCCGCTGTTTGATGTAGACTTGAGATTGTTTGAACTCAACTTGTAAAGATTGTGAACATACATGTATTATTTTCGTCTCTTTATTTACTCAGACAGCACACATTTCTAATTTCGTTCATGAACTAGAAGATGCTGATCACACAATCTTCATTACTATTGTATGTAATCAACAATAGGCCAGATCTTAAAGCATGTTTAAAGAGCTCATTCACGTCCTCTTAATTTCATCGCAATATTGATGAAAGTGTTAGAAGCAATTGTCTACACGGAAATCTGCATTCCAGCTCAGTTGAATTATCGGCATTAACATTATTCAGATTAGATATAAATTTTTGGCGAGTTTCACTGTGGCAGATATTTTTTTACAGCCCAACTTATATTGGTCTGAGATGGTCGAAAATCGTTGAACAAACTGAGATAGGGCTATAAAAGCACACTTAATAGACCATTGTAAGAAAGAAATCAAATTGAAAGTTAAATTGTCAGAAAAAAAACAATTGTATCCCTAGTTTCAACAGTCCTTTTCATCCAATAAAAATGTGTTATAACTCATGAAATGTATTAAATTGCCTTTTAATTGCCACTTAATTGGTCCATGATTTTAATCTGTCATGTAATACTTCCGTAATCGCAAAACTGAGAGGAAATTCAAATGAATGCCATGATAAAGACTAATTATCAATCTGTGAGTTTTACAATTAATTACTTGACAAATGGAGAGGAGAAGCAAAACTTTCCAAGGAAAAGTAGAAATATTGAAAAATTAGTCGAAAAAAGTTGAGGGTCAAAAAATTGACTCAATATCAAGAGATGGCATGAGATTTAATCAGTGAAGATTGATTCTTGTATTCAGGAAGACTCCATGTTATCTCGACAATATTTATACTGTTGATAGAAATAATAAAGTGTGATGATAAAAGTGATGAACCACAAACAAAGAAAGCTAAAAATAGACGAAGAAAAAAGTTTCCTGAAAACAAACAAAATTTATTACATCATTTACATGGAAAAAGTAAAAGACATTGAATTATCTCAAGAATGAAATGATAGTCAAATGAAAATTGAGCTGAATTATTACAAATTAGAACATTAACTTTTGCAAACAACGATAATATGGAAAACGTTGGAATTTCTGTTGAACTTTATGCTCACCTAAAAGTTCTAATTGAACATGAGTAGAAGCAAAAGAATGAAACTAAAGAAGATATTATTTTCAGAACATCTATTGTAAATGAATAGCACTGTCAATGGTGCAATATCTGAATAACATGGATGGAATGAAAAGAAAAGTTGAAAAAGAAAAAAAAAGGTAAAAAGTAGAGCATTTGAAGGTTCCATGAGGATGATGATGATGTGTTCAGAAAAAGAAGAAGAAGAAGAAGAAACATTGAAAATGAGGAAAAGCATAAAACAAGGGTAAACATGTTCGTTACAAAAGACATTTTCATGAGATATTCTGGTTACCTGGTGACATTTATGCTGGTTTGGAAATGCAAATTTCATGGATAAAAACGCATCAAATTTTGATGGTGATGATGGAATGGAGTGAGTGAGAAATTCAAGTTTTTCGCCTTTCCTTGAATATAAATGTAATCATTAATGGTTTTCTTCTTTTTCCATCTTCTTTCTCTACATGAATCTTCTTGTAAAGATAACATTATTATCCCAGTAAAGCAGTGGAAATGAAAGCACAAAAAGGCAAGAAATTTACAAAAAGCTAATTTAACGACAACAAAAACTCAATCAGTTTGGTTTATCAGAATCATCATCTCGACTGTTCAAGTTTACTTTTGTCATTTGTTACTTGCTTCTCTCGATACTCTGACCTAGCAAGTGACCTTACAGGGAAATAATTTCAATTGAAGCGAAATATTGAATGAATTTCAAGTATCAGTAGTTTTTATCAGCTCTGTATAAGGATGAGAAACACACGGCTTGAGGCGACATTAAGTGACATTCAATAACCACTCATGATGCGACTATTTTACTTCACATTAAATAATTAACTTGATGACAGTACTTGAACATTCAATGAGCTGCTATTATAATGGTTCATGTTGAATTGGAAATTCAAGATTAATGAAAAGATCTGATAAAAAGTCAATTGTGCAATGCGCTAATCTGACATTGAAATGCTTTATATTTAGATTAATAAGAAGATTCCAATCACGGCTCATTGCAAAATTTCTTCATCGATTACAAAACATTCCCGCTTAGCCACTATGCTGAGCAAAAATCACTGATCATAGTTTTTTCATTGAGTAGGATACAATCAATCCATATTGATAAGACCTGAATTCTTGACGAACGAACCATCTTAAGCTTTTGTCAAATTGATATTCATTTTGAAAAACCTTTCTTTTAATAGACGTTAAAATTTTCGATCGATTTGAAAGTTGATCCTTTGTAAGGACATAGAATCGTGTGCATTTTACAATTAGATTTTTCTGGTCAACAGTTTTGCCAAAATCGAGTTCGAAATCGGAACTGATCTTCAGAGTGATTAACAATAGCTTGAGAGTATACACTCCTCAATTAATTAACAATGTTTGGCCACAATTTAGAAAAGGAGAAAAAAATAATCTGATCATTGGGCTGAGTTGACCAGTATTTATCCCAACAGAATGGCAAAGTAATAAAAAATGTAAGATTAAACTAAAGGGGAATGACATTGAATTACAAACTGTTAATAAAGAGAGGCTAAATGGAGTAACGACCCCTTACACATCGCAACTCAACTATTGACTCGAATGTCACATTTCTAACACTAGTTTATTAGATGGTTGTAAAGACTGTGAAATGATTTTGGGTTTCCAAAGTTATGTAGAAATTTTTGTTTCGAAAATATTTCCTTCAAGTATTTGTTATATCACTACAGTGAAGATATTCATGGTTAAGACGCGAGGCGGAGCCGAGGTTCTTATCAGTGAATATGGCTTAATCTTGAAAAACATTTGATTGATCGCTACAATTGCATAACTTAATAACAGCAATAAGGAAGATGATGGATACAGCAATGATTGAATTATCTGTTATTTTGATTTTTTCTGTTTCTTTTATTTCGAACAGTCTTGATCAAAATTCAACTCTTTACCTGGAAAACAAAAAAAGAACAAAAACAAAAACTTTATTATAGCAAATGATTGCACCATAACATCTCAATGTTTACTTCAATTTTACATTCAAAGAATCAAATTGAATCGGAAAAGTCAAGAATCTATTTTTACTCAAAACTACATTTACTTGAACTTGAAAGTTTTGAAATAATTTGCTTATCAATAAAATCATCAAGTTTCAATTTGATCAGTCAACAGCAAGTCCATTTTTAGCTTTAAAGTTTCATTAAAAGCAATGACGTTTCCACGTGAATAAACCTTTTCCTAGTTTGATAAAGTTCATTTAAACAGACAAATGGCAAAACTTGAAGCAACAAAAAAATGAATAAAAAATTACCAATTTCACTTTTGCTCTTTGATGGATTAGAGTTCAGATTGGCGAGTGGAGACAATATTTCACGATTGGCATTAACAGTGAATATAAATATGAAAATGTGCAGAAAGAAAAAGAAAATGAATGGAAAAGGAAAATGCAATCAACTTTGGCACGTAACGATTTTCATCATTTCCAGTAATACTTAGCTGATGAACCATTGTTATATGTAAGTCACACACAAGATGAAAATGTAAATGTCCTTGGTTGAGAAAGGCAGTGAAGCAAGTGTCGCTTTCAGGCAATGTGCCTGTGATCAATTGAATAATGTGAGAGGGAAAAAAGTTGATAACATTGAGTAGGAAGCCAGTCAAGATGATGAGCAAAAGTGTATCATCAACAATCATTATCTGTATTAGCATCAGTATCAATATCAAATCTAGAATCATAATGTAATAATGTGATAGAGAAGAAAAGAGATTCAACACTTCAATCAACTATTATTTTTCTTTTTTCTTCATTCTCTTCATTCTCTTCATAGACATTTTTTATCATTATCTCATTGGCCTACTAATAAATCTTGTCTAATTTCATTTTATATCATCTTCTTGTGTTATCATTTATTCCGCAAAAGATTTGGTAACAATAATATTATGAAAAGAAAAATCATTTTATTTCTCAAGTGAGAGTTGAAAAGCCCAAAGACGAGACTGGAGAAACCCAGAAACTTTCAACTTTGGTAGTTTGGGTTGAAACGGGTGTAAAGTGGATGAAACCAAAAAGAAGACCAAATGTGATGGAAAAAAGTAGAAAATGATTAACATGATTTATAGCTTTTCAAGTCAATCAATTTGAACCTTTGCTCAACCTGAGTTGATATGTGTGTGTGTGTGTCTTCAAGAGTTTCATCAGTTGATGGAACAAGAAAAGAACAGTAAATTGAATAATTTTTCAACAATGATTTTGAAAGGAAAACATTAGAAAAGGATGAATTTTATCTCAGTTTTGTTGTCACTGATGATTACTTGATTCTCGTGATTCTCAACTTCGTCCACTTGAAGCTCGTCTAGAGGCTTCTGTTTAGTCAGATTTCAACTCGTGATTTGCAAGTAAAAAAACAATTGCACATCAACATTGAAAAAGTTTTACGTCCAAAGAGTTGAGGTGGAATCGAAGAGCAAACAAAGCTCAGTGGACTTGATGTTCAATTGTCTTTCAACAATGAGTGAAAAATTGAGGGAAAAGACAATTTTCAAGTTGCACTTTTTGATTGGGAGAAAAAAATGAAAAGTAATTAATCAAGTAAATGAGGGAAAAAGGTTTGTCTCTTGCAAGAGTAAAACATTGTTTATGCAAAGACATTGCATCTGTCAAATCCAAATGTGACCCACTTGACCCATTTGAGTCTCTCGAGAATCTTTCTCTTTGGTCGAGACCTTTTTTCACTTTTACTTTGACTGGTCATTCGAGATGAATGATTCAACAAACAAAATGAACATTTGCTATTACGTTTGCATTGATCATTAAAACTCGCAACTTTTATTCACTTGAATAGACTGGAAATGTGGAACCAACAATCAAGTCAAACGAGATTTGGAAATTATTTAATCGTGATTACTGTATAAGTTTCAATTTTTTCCGTCCTTTTCATGGCCAAATGAGTGACAATAAAAAAAGCAAAAAGTTGACGAATGTCGGGTTTCGATGCAAAACGTTTATCTTTCAACAGTTGCAACTGATTGCTCATGAAATTGCCTCGAATTATATTGATAGTAAAGTGACAATTTTATGCTTCAGCCTGGAAACAGAATTGTTCAATTAAAGCAAAAGCTGTAGTTATTCATCAACCTTGAATATTAACATGGAAAACATTTAAATGTTTGAAAAAAAATGAAAAAAGAAAAAAGTTGCTTCAAGTGGCAAGGAAGACGAAGTAAAGGAAACGTTAAAAGCTATGAATCTGATGCATGAAATTTTAATGATGTAATGATGATTATTGTGGTGCACTTGGAGATTCAGCAAGAATCAGTTAATTGTTCAATGGTTTACTCTTTTCCAAAGGAAGGGCCAAAGGAAGAGCAACTTGTTGTGAAAAAGACTTAAGAAAAGAATCTTTAGAAATTTTGTTTCTTTTCTCGTTTTTTTGTTGCTTCTCTCGATAAACATGATATTCACTTACCTGTTGATGATCAGTCAAAGTGCAAATTATCATTTGTGACTTATTGAAAGGTTTAATGCAACTTCAATGTAACCACATGTGAATGGAAAAGTCAATGGATGAGTGAACTTTTTTTCTCACTTTCATCAACATTCCATTTCCATTGAATATCACCTTCTTTCACGTTCAAATTATTAGGTTAGCAAGTGTGGTGAAACTCATGTAATTTTTTGTTTGCATGATAATTCTATTTTCGACTGTTGGAATCAATCAAGATTAATCAGTTACGGAAATGGATAAGAACAAGGTTTACCTAAAGATTTCAATGGTAAAAGTAGATCAAGTTGAGAGTTGCTGACGTCCAATAAATCAATGACGACATTAAATTCGGTAACCAAGAGAAAAATAATTTTGGAAAATTCAATTTTTTTCCATCAAAACTCGGAATTATCGGATTATCTCAGATCTTTATCAACATTGGATTGAAAATTGCCCGTTCAATGATCAATCCAAAGGAGGGAAAAAAGGAAAATAAAAATTGATCGATAAACGAAAATTGATTTTTATCAATTTTAGTGTTTTTCATGAAAACACTCTGAAAGAATTTTATTGAAATCGAAATCTTTTTTTTGCGGTTTTCGCCATTTCTGTTCATCTTACATATCAATGACATATCTTCAACTTGAAAGTCACTCACTTATTCCTCCCTCAATCTCACTCTCTGGTTCTTATTGAGCTCTCACTTGTTTCCCTGAAAAGCTGATTTCTGTCAACTACTTCATTCATTATGATAAGTTACAATTATAACTAAAATTATTACCTGAGACTCACCAACTCTCTCGCTCACTCACTCGCTTTACTGCAACTTTTCCCGTTTTCAAGTTTATTCAAGTTTCTCGTCATTCCATTGACTCTCTACAACTACCAATGTTAACTATTAATACTCATCCTTTTCCTTCTGACCTGTTGATTAAACCAGATAAAAGTCGCAACTAGAAATCAGGATTGACCAACAACAAAATTAATCGACACTCATCATTGTGCATCACTAACGTCAACATCATTTGCGTCATTTTTTGTCAAATATTTTTAAACTTGTTCTTCCCTTATTTTCCCTTTTCTAGTTCGACCTTTTTTCGCGTAAAATGTGCGTCCATTCCTAGTGCATCTCTTTTCTTCGGTCGAGAGTAAAAAGTTTTTTTCTTCTCAATTTGGTTTCATTCATCATTGTCTTGTTTCCAATCAATCTTTGCTTCTAAATATTGTATCAGCTTTTCATTGTTGGCCATGGATCTTAACAAATCGATGTCACCAATAACCTTAATCATTGGACTATCCATCATTGTATTTGGCATTTACTTGCCCATTTTGATTGATAATTTCATTACAACAACAATTCAACAAGTAAGTTTACACAGTTTATCTCATTGATTGTCCAGTTTAATCTTGATCATGTTCAATCATCCAACTGTATTCATGTTTAGCTAAAAGCTGAACCAACTCGATGAAAGTCGAGTTTAATTGAAATTTACATAAATTATGCTAATTTATACTGTGTAATTGTTGACCAAGATTGAAATTAATTTAGCCTCATTTAAAGCAATTTATCTTGATTACAGCACTTGCCACTTACTGTACCTATTTTAGTCTATTTTTTGCCTCTTTCATTTTGCTTGCTATTTTTGAACAAACGCTTGCTCAAGAAACTGTTTACTTGTTTGTTGATTGTCTTGTTTTCCCATTCACTTCAATGTAACTCACTTTTTTCTTGCTCTTTGCCTTTTCTTGTCTAATTGATACAAATGATCAAACTATTTGGTTTCACGAAAAGTTTGCAAACCAAGAAAAAGTTTGACCAATATCAACTTGAATCATCATTTTGCCGCAATTAGAGTTAATTCAATTGTCCATTTTAAATGTCAAAAGCAACAGATTCACCAACAAGTGACAATGGAAATGAGTTTTGTAAGTAACCATAAAAGCTTGTTGGTGAGTTCAAGTTAACCAGGAAACTGAGGCAAGTCCGTTAATTGTTTCAATAAGCTAAGGCCAAGACTTGAGGCGAACGTGAAAATTGAGCTTCAAGCTTTAAAACAATATTTGTTTCCCAAAAATATCGATAAATCAAATTAAATGCAAGCGATAACCTGATTTTGTCCTTAAATTTGAAGGCTAACAATGATTTTGCACAGAATTAAAAATCGATTGCAAATGTTGACAAAAGCATTGCAATTGTTCAAAAGATTAAAATTGAAATAAAAGTTGCATCTAAAGCCAATGGTGAACATTGGTTGCTTAAATTAGCTGTTGTCGTTTGGGTCAGAAAAGACAAAATCTGGTCTTTGTTACAAAAATAAGGTTAGTTCGTTATGTAAATAGAGACTCGTTGGTAAATGACGTAGAATTGATTGATTAAATGAGCTAATATTGAATTAACCAAGTGATACCTTGAGGCGAGATACATTTGCAATTTTCATTTGTAAACAGCAACAACTTTCCTTACCTTTTATTGATATGAAAACATCGATTTTTGCTTAATCCATATTTTTCTTCTCGCAAGATAAAGGTTTGCGATAAAAAGTTGCAGTATAACGATCCATTGCTGTGCAAGCTTAGCAAAAATACTGTTTATTTAGATTATTGATTGCACAAGATGTTTAATGAGATGAAAAACAACTTTACTTATCGAATGGATGGAAATGGCGATTGAAACGCTATTTTTAGATTCATCGGTTTTCTGTTACAATAACAATACAAAACAAGCCGATGATGCTCATTCAACTCTGATGTAACCAAGTTTCGAGGTTAGGCTCTTAACCTTGAAAACAAACACTTGATCCAATAATTGAAAATAAAAGACTCTTGATAGTCTAATCTTTCACTAACATCGATAAAGTTCAATGTCAGCTTCAGTTCAAGTTCAGAGTCGAACGCGTTTAGATTCGAATTTTTCTGATTATCTTTTCCATTGACATTTCTCAAGATTGATTAAAATTTAATTTTTGAGCGCAAAAGTACAAATTCAAAGTTCAATCTAGGTTTCAGATTAAGGAATTTAATCGATAGATCTCACAAAAAGACGAAAAATGACAAAATTTGGAATTTTCGAACTGAACCAATTTCTCCGTCAAACTTTTTGATTCTAAGGAAACTTAATAAAAACTAATCAAAAACAAGTCAAACTTCTTGTCCTAATCAGACACGGAGAGTAACTTGACAGTGTTTTCATCCACCTAACAAGTTACTTGTCAGGTTGAGTTAACTTTGCACGAGCTGCTATCAATGCATTGTTCCAGTCTTGATCTAAACATTTCTTATTTTCTGGAATTCTGAACTTCTTTTCAATCAGTCGATTCATTTGACAATGCAAATCTTGTTGAATCCAGAGATTTAATTGAAGCATTTTTGCTCCATCACCATGATAATGCTTTAACAGTAATTCTTCAAGATTATTCAAGAAACTCATGTTATTTGTTTTACTCTTTTCCCGTGAAGACAATATCATTTAAATGGTAAACAAGATGCAATTTGAAATGAAAATTTTCCAATCAAAGATGGAAAGAAAAGAAAATTTTTCCTTTTTTTGTCACCATTTTCAAGTTTCATGGTGCAACGGACAAGTTCATTATTCAATTGAAAATTCAGTGGAAAATTAATATTGAAGCGATTGTTGTGCTAGATGAAAAGTAGTACAGTCATCATGGTTATTCTATTCAATTGGAAGAAAATTGAAGAATCTTGAGGAAAAAATGAAAAAGAATAAGAATGAGATTTCCGGTTCTCTGATTTTTTCTTCATCTTCAACTCTCATGATACTTTTCCTTTCATTCTTATCTCATGATAATATGAAAAAATATTTTCTTCTTTTCACTTTTGATATTGAATAATAACTCAGTGAAAGTAGAAATTTCAGTTCCAATGTTTTTTTTCTATTCAGTTGCTAAGAATCTTGAAATTTATTCGAAAACTGAAAGAACATTTTCTTTTTTTCTCTTCTTTTTCTCTCAACAAATCAAAATTGATGGAATTGATGATGAAAAGTTTTAATCTTTTCACATTTTTATGACTTTTCAGCCAAAGAAATGAGACTAAAAATCAAGTGGAAATATTTATTGCAACAATCATTTATTGATAATCTTATGCCATGAAAATGAACAACCATGAAACAGAATTGACCTTCTAACATGATAAATGTATGGATAAAGAATTGTCATCAGATTGGGAAAAAGAAGAAAAGAAAAGAGAGAAAAAAAAGTTGAAATAAATTTCAAACGTGAGTTGCCTTTTCATCATTTTACACCTTCCATTGGTTAACGAATTTCAATCTTTTCCCTGCTTCCAGGATTCCAAGTTGAATCAATAAGATTTTGATTCATTTCCTGCTTACCGACGACAAAAGGAGAATGATTAAAAGTCGATATCAGTTCTTTTTCATTATTTACTTGAACAGTTCCAAGTGTCATGAATTTTGATGAACAAGTCGAGTTTATTAACACTTGAAGAGACAAGAGAAGAATGAACTTTAATTGATTGGCGAGTTGCAATCAGTCATAATTTATTGTCTTTTATCTGATTTAATTTCATGTTTTGTTCAACATTTACTTTCACTAATTACATCTATTTTACTTCCTTCCTGATGAGATATTAAATTACTTTATGAGTTCATTAAAACCAATCAAAAGCCTAAAACATCGAAATCGACTTTTACTTTATTTCCATCGTTCATCGAAAATCGAAAGATTTTCACTTTTCTTGACGAATAGAGTTCGTAAAGTTCTTTCTTTTCTTTGAGTCGATCATGAGTTCTTCATTTCCGTCAACCAACGAGAGTATCTGGCTTTTCCCTTGTTTTAATTTGATTTGTGACGAAATGAAAGGAGATTCCTTGACATCAATCATGTTTCGATAAAGAGCTTACCTGAGTTTGCACAAGAATTTGACTTTTAAACGGAAAAAGTTTTATTCTTTTATCCCTCTAGTCTGAATGATTAAGAATACTTAACAATTTTGCAATTTTGAAATGATGTAATTCCATTGAGAAATTCATTTGTTTCCTGATTTGCTAAAGAGTTACAAGTTTCACTAGTTTTGCACTTAATTGCACTTTTCAACTTGAATATACAATTTCGTACTCGAGTACCGATTAAGTGTAAATAAAATTGAGAAAGATTTTATTACATTCCATGGGAATTTCTGGTCCAAATCAATAAACGGAAAAGGATTCGAAACTGGATAACCTTGATTAAATGTGTAATTTTAGATGAAAATTTTTTAAAGGTTCATTTGTTTAACTACAATGAAATGGGAGCAAAATTCATTTCAGTTTAATCGTGCATTTTCAAGATGACCAAACATGTCAGTTTCAGAAGCAAAGGAAAAAAGAGATTAAACTTGGGCAGACGTAAATGAAGCAAACACTTTTCATGATTGCTGTAAATGACAAATTGCCTTCTATTACCTTGAGGTTATCATTTTCATTCTTATTCATCAAAAGTAAATTACATCACAATTGGCTTTTCTCTTCATCTTCAAAATGGAATCCATTCAAGTCAATAAACATATAAGTTGAAAAGTCACTAAAAAACAGTTGAGTTTTAAACTTCAACTATGAACCCTGAAAAATAGATGAAAATTCGATATTTGCGTTCTCTCAACACTAGAAATTAAAAATTTCAGAGTTGTGTCAATGGTTTTGAGTGTCAGTGATCATAAAGTCTCGTTGCTGAGGTCGAGTTCTAGGTTGTAATCCTTGTCAATCTGTTGACCTTTCTCATCTTTAGTGAATTAATTTCAAATTGGAGTTGTCTCTCTATGTGAAACTGAAAACTAGCAAAAACTTTTTGTTCTGCATTTGAATGAATTTCATTAAGAAAACTCACGAAACTGAACCGGTTCGATTTATGCAAATCTCTTGCTAATTTTGGATCGTTTGGCTAACTTTTATTTAAACACATGTTTACCTTGATTTCACTCAACGAATTTGAAAAGTTTGAAATTTTTGCGGCTTTCTCAATTCTCGATTCGGCCTATTTTCATCTGAATCAGAATGAATCAACCTTTTAATTACACTGAGAAAGCTTGGAATTTATTTTGAAAATAATTTTGAAATTTTCTGGTAAAGATGAAAGTTTGTAAATTGAATTTTCCTGATTGTTTTTCTTTCATGAAAGAAGAAAAAAACAGAGAAAACTCGCCATTCTCAAAGGCATTAACTAACAAGATTAATATCGTTCAATCAACATGAGCAGAAGTTGAGTTAACTTTTGAAAGTTGAGTTTTGAAAAGAGAAGCAACTTTGTTGCTATTAAATGGCTTTTATAAGGTTGACTTGACTTGATATGTTTGGAGCTGAAAAATAATGAGAAACCCATTTTTAGTGCTTTAACTGGCATCATTAATCTAGT